CCCTTTCGCCTCCCTGCATTGTGCCTACATATGCAAATTAACCGCCATCTTTGTTGGCAGTTAACTGCCATCTTAGTTGGCAGTTAATTTGCATATCACCCTGATTAGCCAATGAAAAGGGTAGCGGTCATATGCCAATTACCATATTTCTCTTTTATTAGTGTAGATAAACTACTGAGTGCTATTTTGGGGGAACTATGGAAGACCACATTATACTCAGAAATGTAATAATTTGGGATATCTTTGTAACTTTTTTTTTTTTACACAGAACCTTCAGAACTACACTATCCCAGATTGATACCACCCGAGAGTTGTTTGTACAGACCAGGAGAGGCCAGGAAATTCTTACGAGGGTGAAGCATTTCATGAAACAGTACATCCTTCCAGCTGAAAAGGTAAGTATTGTGTGAACAGAATGTATTTGTGCTCAAGAACTATGGAAGTACTTCTGTTATCTCTGCTAAAAGTACCATGGTATCTTATCTTTGCAGTCAGTCCTTAATTAGATACTTCTCCTAGCCTTAGCACTGACCTGCTACAGACCTGATCCTGAAAAATTCCAAGCTTCTAAAATATGCCAAGGGCATGCTACAGATCAATCTGTGGAATAAAAAATAAGCTAAAAGAAATTAACTTTTTTTGTAAAGTTGACATTCCTAGTACATTAAAGTAAAACACTACCTTGGGACCTTAGGAACCTTTGCCCAAGGCAGTGACTTAGAGCTTTTATTTATTTATTTTTTTAAGTGAACCCCTTTGAGAACTAAGAACTGTAGAGGGAATGAGATAGGCATATCCAGAAAAAATTGCATATTATTTCAAGCTTTCACAAATACTATCACATGCTACTACTTTAAGGTATTAAATTTCAGTCAGTTCACTGAGGGTGAAGAAGTGACATGATATGTTCATTCATTCAGTTAATAACTAATTATCAGGAGTCTAATAATGTGTTAGGCACCTAGAGAGCCATTGAAAGTAAAAGAGAGAACAAGACAGGGCTTATCCTTTAGCATAAAAGAAAGATTAAATAAGAGATGATAAATGCTATGAAGAAAAGAGAAAAGTTATTATGAAAAATGTAAGACAGATGGGGTGGGGTATGTGTGTGGGTAGAACAATGCTATAGAAATTGTAAGGATTTGATTCTAGCCCACTTCTGCCACAAGTTAGGGGTCTTGGGCACATAACAGTCTTAGAGCTCAAGTTCTTCATTTACAATGTGAATAGGTATGACTAGATGTACAGTAAATTCCCATTTTAATCTTCTATGATTCCAAGAGGTCTAGAGCCAGACTAGCAAAATCAAATGGGAAACTGAAAATGGCTGAAATTCTTTCAACAAAAATTTCAGTCAATATGTGCTTATAGGGCAGTTAGTGTTACTGCTTGAATTGTATGAATAATTATATTTTTAGTGAAGATCTGGCATGAGATTAACCTTGCTCACAGAATGGGATACAGTGTTTTAAAGAAAATACTACTTAAATATGAGGAAATTCTAAAATAGCCAACTCTTATATGTGTTCAGTGATCAGGCATCAGGCATGTTTTCTTTCTTCTTTCTCCCCTAAACTCTTTTTCATACTTTAAGAACTAAAGGAAGCTTCTTCGTAACAAGGTATTTTAATTCTGCCTCTTACTGTATTACAAATAGACTTTGAAATCTCTAAATGGATAGACTTTAGAACAGGAAGTATTAAATAACACAAGTTTTTAAATAATTATCAACACTGGCATAATTTCTCAGAACTGTAGTATCATAAAGAGGTAGTCAAAAATGAGGAATTTGTAAAGGTACTACATAATATATTTCTTATCAAACACAATAGCATTGGCTATTTCTATAGCAATATGAGGGATGGAAATAATAAACAACCCTAAACAGGAAATTTAACCGACTTTCTGACAGAAATAGCAAGAGCTATTCATTCTGGTGCCTTTGAAAGAGCCATTCTGTGTCTTCTTGACGTTTTCACTAAATATAGCAGTACTTTAGACCAGTGATTTTCAACCTTTTCCACCTCGTGGCACACATAAACTAATAAATAATATTCTGCATATACAAAAAATATATTTCTTGCCTATCTGACAAAAAAATAGGTATAATTTTTATTCATTCACACCAGATGGCTGTTGTTGTATTGGCTGTTGTCATTTCTTTTTCTTTTTTTTAAAATATGGGACACTTCATGAATTAGCATGTCATCCTTGTGCAGGTGTTGTCATTTCTTTATTTAACAATCTAAGGCAGTGGTTCTCAACCTTCCTAATGCCGCGACCCTTTAATACAGTTCCTCATGTTGTGGTGACCCCCAATTTCATTGTTACAAATTGAACATAAAGCATAGTGATTAATCACAAAAACAATATGTAATTATATACGTGTTTTCCAATGGTCTTGGAAACCCCTGTGAAAGGGTCGTTCGACCCCCAAAGGGGTCGCGACCCACAGGTTGAGAACCGCTGATAAGGGAAAAGAGATCAGTGCCCCTAACTAAATAGTCAGGTATTGCATGTTTTAAAAATTCTTGCAGCACACCAGTTGAAAATCACTGTTCTAGATTAACCATGTTTCAATTAAAGGACCATTGTAGTGTATTACTTATATGATTATAAATTGGTGGGAAATTTTTAGCAAATAATTTTGTAATATTGACTTTTGACAATGTTCATAGCCAATAATCCAGGGAAGTAATTCTACTAGCCCAAGTGTAGAAAAGAAAATAGGTACAGAGATGCTGTGATAGAAAAATATTAAAGAATGACATTATAGTCCAAGATTTTATTTCATCTTGATTCTTTTAGTTGCACAAACTAGAGATTACTGTTACTGCTTTATGTGTCTATTACTCATGTAATTATCACTTCATTTACTATTTATTCCTTCTTGCAACTCAGATGTTTCTTCTAGGATGAAGTTCCTTTAATGAGAATCTTCTAATAAGCTTTTATCTTTCTTTTTTCCTACTTTTTCTTTTTTTCCCAGGAGAGGGAAGTACTATATTATATTCATCTCTTCTATCTCTCTATACCTCTATGTCTCTATCTCTCTGTTTCTTTATTTCTAATGCCTTTATTTTTCCCTACTTCTTGAAAGATCATTTTATTGGATATAGAATTCTAGACTGCCAGTTATTTCTCTCAGAAATTGATGATGATATCCCACTGATATCTATCCTCATTTTTTGCTCTGGGAAGTCAGCTCTCAGTCTTAATTGTTTAATTATCTGTAATCGTCTTCCTTTCAGAGCCTTTCTTTAACTTTGATGTTCTGCACCTAATGGTGCTCTGGCTTCATTGTGCTTTTTCAATTTGAGGGTTGGTATCTTATCAGTTCTGAAAACTTCTTAGGTATAATTTCTTCCAACATCCCATCTCTCCTGATTCTTTTCATCTACTACTACAATTAGATTTACGTGAGACTTCTGTGTACATCATATCCCTTAACCACTCATATTTTCCTTTTACTGAATTTCTATGCTTCATTCAAGAAAGGAGGAATTTCCACAGGTCCCTCTTTTTTCTTTTTAATATATTTTACTGATTCTTTACAGAGAGGAAGGGAGAAGGATAGAGAGTTAGAAACATCGATGAGAGAGAAACATCGATCAGCTGCCTCCTGCACACTCCCCACTGGGTATGTGCCTGCAACCAAGGTACATACCCTTGACCAGAATCGAAGCTGGGACCCCTGAGTCCGCAGGCCGACACTCTATCCACTGAGCCAAACTGGTTAGAGCATCAGGTCCCTCTTTTGATTTGTCTTTTCAGCTGTATCTAATCTTACTTTCTAGCAATCCATAGAGCAGTGGCTTTCAAAATGGGATTGTCACAATTGCCTGGAAAAATAGTAAAGAGTATAGAAACTCCAGGCTCACTGAAGTAAGGTAGACCTATGCCCTTGCATTTTTACCAAGTTCCCCAAGTGATTCTGAAGCCCAACAAAGTTTGAGAACCACTGCCAAAAGTTTCCAAGTTTAAGGAATATGGTTTAGCTTTTCCTCAAAATACATTCAGTTCTTTTTCAAATTTGTCTGACCTATTTTGATAATCTTTTGTCATATTTTTAATTCCTTCCTTTATTCTTAAAATTTATTAGACACAAATATTTTATATCCTATTTCAGATCATTCTTCTACCTATAGTCTTTGGGGAGTGTTTCTGTTTTGTTGAACTATTGTTTTTGCTAATTCTTGCTAATGGTGGCTTATTTCCTACAGTGTTTGGTAATTTTTCATTTTAAACTCACATTCTTTGAAATGGAATTTTATCTGCTGGGATCATTTAAGGCTTTGTTTAAAGCTTTCCTCCAGAGAGGATTTGCTTTTGATTCTGCCAGCTCCTTGCAAGCACAGTCACCAGGAACACTGTAGACTTCATTTCAGCTTGAGATTTTAGGGCCCCACAGGTCTCTGAATTCAGATCCCAAACTTGGGTGAAGACAGGCTTCAAGCTAGAAATGTTTCTATTTTTCTATTCCATCTTATATCTGGCTTATTCCCCGTGGTTTACGTCTGAGGGGTGGGTGTGTTTTTTCCACTAAGGTTTTGTCCCTTAGGTACCCCTGCTTTGGTGAAGGGAAGAGATGACCTCTGATCCGCCCTCTTTCCATTTTTGGGGCATTTGGCTTTTTCTCCTGACCCTGCCTCTATGGCTCATTAAAGACTAGGGTCCAGCCCTAGGCACTTGTGCTCAGTGGATAAAGGCTCAGCCCACAGACTGAAGGGTGTTGGGTTGGATCCCAGTCAACTGTTGCAGGCTCGATCCCCAGCCCTGCTCCAGACACAACCAATCAATGTGTCTCTCACATTGATGTTTCTCTCTCTCGGTCTCTCCCCCTCCCTTTCTCTCGCTCTAAAAATCAATGGAAAAATATCCTCGGGTGAGGATTAACAAAAGTAAAACTAATAAGGTCCAGACTAATGTGGATCAGCCTACATCCCCCAGACAAACTTGGCTCTAGTGCTCACTCTCAAAGAGTCAGGCTTTATTCCTGGCCTCTGAGCTGTTTTCTTAATTTCCTTCCAGCACAGCTGTGCATTACTAAATGTATTTTTTAAATTACTTTAAGTATTTTACCTGATATTTTCAGTTGTACTACCCTGGGAGGGGTTTCTGACCATTTAGTGTGCCATATTGCTGAATGAAACATTCACACTTTAGTGTAACTTCTTGGGAGTCTATTATCTACTATTGAGGAAGCATAATTTGTGAGCAGCAAGGCTCTAGAATATTTTATACTTCTGTGTCTGGTTTTAGAAAGAAATATTGATTTAACTGCAGCTGAAAAAGCTGCTTCACCTAAATATGTTTTCATTGGATAGTAACAGTTTGTGGCATTATTTACTTTGTATTAACTTTAGCTAATTAACTTTTTATTTTCATTACTTTAAGGAGGTAATTGAGTTTTATGTTCAAAAGGAAAATTCAGTAGACAAGTGGAAAAAACCTCCAATAATTGATAAACTCAAGGTAAGAAAAATAAGAAAACCTTTAACATTGGAAAATTTACATGGAGATGTTTTTTAAGACCTCAGTTTGTTGTTGCTGTTATATATGTAGAGGATAATTATATCAATAACGTTTTTAAAAGGAAGTTAAAAATAGCATCTGTAATATACAAATTAGGTTGCATAGTGTTGTATATATGGTATATGGTGAAGATGTAGATATTTAAACAAAAAATACCATCAACACTACTCACTGCCACCTGTCACTAAATTGAGACTGAAGTCCAGGCAGGATATTTACCTTACATGGATTTAATTTCATGTTTTCAAATCCTAAGAGCAACACATGTTAAAAATCACAATGCAAAAAGAAAACAGTTACTTGGCATAATTATATTCAAGCATGGGAGCTTTTATAGTAGCTATGATTCAATAAGAAGGACTCAAACAAATTTAAATTTTCAGCCAAATCCAAGGAGGCTTGGAAGAAAAGTCATTTCTTTAACAGTTTAGTGATTCATGATGAATTAGTAACTACTTGTTTTTGCACACTAGGATAGAATGAAATAACTTCATGTTTTTAAATTTCAAAAAGCATAAATACTAATATATATATATTTTAAAAACACCTATTTTTGGTCATGGCAAATTATGATCACTCTGGCATATCCATCTCCTCAACAGGAAATGGCCAAAGCAGAGGGCCTCTGGAACTTGTTCCTGCCAGCTGTCAGTGGCCTCAGCCAGGTTGACTATGCCCTGATTGCTGAAGAAACTGGAAAATGCTTTTTCGCTCCAGATGTCTTTAACTGCCAAGCACCAGGTTACTTCATTATTTAAAAACAGACTTTCGCGGATATTCTGAGCAGTGTTTATAATTTCTCTATTTTATGACAAGGAAGTTTTTCCTACAAGAAGTCATTGATTTATAAATTTATCCAGAGTTTTACTTTTAGTTATTTTGATTTAAATATTTAAAAATGAATCTAATGTTCTCAATGTATTACTCTTTTGTTAAACATCATGACATTAAAAGTATTAGTGAATAGAATCTGCTCCCAAAGGGATTGGACTGCAGTTTCCTTACTGGGTATTGGATATTTCTATGGCTATTGGAATGAATAGAGTTCCACATCTTTTGGTTAGCCTCACTATCTTTCCATTTATTCACCAACTATTTATTATATACTGTGTGCCAAGTCCTATTTTAGATCTTGAATATATCAAGGAATAAAATAAAGATTCCTGGGAGGAAACTAAGATGGCGGCATAGATAAACACCGGGAAATTGCTGCCTCCCACAACAATTGAATAATACATCAAAAACACAGAACGGACATCATCCAGAACTACAGGAAGGCTGGCTGAGTGTAAATTCTACAACTAGAAGGAAAGAAAAGCACACTGAGAGCCAGAGGAGCTGCGGAAGTAAAGTGCAGAGGTAGGGGGCTCGCACGCGCGGAAAGGGTCTGGCACCTGAGGACGCGGCTGTCTTTTTGAATCTGGAGGGAGTCACAAGCTCCTGACGGCTCTGAACTCTGGTTCTGGGAAGTCTCTGGGGACCCAGGACTCATACGGGGAGAAACTGGACTGTCTGGCAGCGGGCGATCTTGAGGGCGGCTTTCACTCAGAGGTGCTTGCAGCCGTTACTGGGACACTGAGACGTGC